AAACGAAAAATATTTCACAAGAAAAATTTGAAATTTTATAAAAAAAACTTCCAACAATATTAATTATTTTTCTTTTGAATTTTAAAAGAACTTTGGGTGCGCAGTTTTATAGATTTAATTTTAGTATAATAAAGTGCAAGTTGCAAGTAGCTAACAGTTCGGGTTGATTTTTAATAATTTTTTTTCGCTAAAATTTCGAGCACATCTGCATGTTAAATAGGAACAACAGCGTTCTCTTTGTCTCGTGTTATTATATATCTACTAGCGAATACCCGGCGTCCTTAGCTACGCCTTAAAATGGCCTCATTCATAAAAAATGAAATAGATTTGAAGAGGTTTATGAAGTGAGATTTTCTAATATATTTTCGATATATGAAACATACTTTATTTTTCATGAATAAGGGTGTTAGTTAATATATTTTCGAATTTCGTATTTAATTCTGGAAATTTAATTTATACATACTCTTACAACTCGATTCTACATATCGTACACTTTCTTCAAAGGTGTATAGAATTTTTTAAACAGGTGGCAAGCCTCCTCAAAAATATTTTTGGCGGTAAAAATTTCTAAATCCCATTTAGTTTGATATCCATATTGCAATATTTAATTGAGATTATCAAATTAAAATTTTCAAACAGGCAACCTTTCACAAAAACATCGTCGACTGTAACTCTCTTTTAATTTCTTTTGATAGCCATATTGCAATATTTACTTTATTTTATCAATTTACTTAAATTACAATTTTCAAACAGGTGGCAACTCTCATAATTTTTTTCCTACATCTTAAGTTTGACCTTTAGTAACGCACCGTTGAAAACTGCATTCGATTCCATGCATTAGTTTTCGAGTGATGCGCTTGCAAATATACAGACAGACAGACAGAGAGACAATCAAAAATTCGAATAAAAAAGTTGATTTGGATTCTGTTGCTCTAATGAATCAAGCGTTGCCAGGTTGACGTTTTTAACGTCATTTGGACGTTTTTTGTATCCTGTTGACGTTTGGACGTTTTTTGTGTAAAAAATGACGTTTTTTAACTTCCCAGTAATTTTTCTTTGTTACTAAATCTTGCAAGAGGAACTGATTTTGAATTATTTTCTTAATAAATCTTTACAATCTTTGTGTTTTGCTGCAGCTGCTTCAAAAGATTTTTTTTTTTTGGATTCTTGGACCCCCGTGTTCAAAGGCTGGTTGTGTAAACACTTGAGGTTACGAGGCTTGCTGTAATGTTTGCAATTGCACATTAAAAGCCGAATCAGGAAGAGCCGATCTATTGCAACACGCACGTTCGTAAAAGCATCAAAATAACTGTGCAGCATAAAACGTCAGAAAAAAGTAGGCGACTTTTTTAAGACTACATTGAAAATGTAATGTAATGAACGCAAAAAAGACTGAAATATTGCTATGCTCCTTCCTAGCAGAACGTAATTTAGCATTTTCGACCACCGAAATGTCTACAAGAAACAAATATTAATGGGCTATCAAACTGCATACTCAAAAAAAAAATCTAAAAAATCCGAATCCGAAAGTTGAAAATCTCGCTGAAAATTTGCAGATTTTTTATAATTTTTGCACAGTTTTTGTGGATTTATATTTTATTTGTTAAAGAGCTTGGCTTTTATGGAAAATTAATATATATTAAATAAACGAAAGAGAAACAGCCAAAATCGATCAAA